TACAATGAATATGTCCTAATAAAACATTTTTAAAAACAAAAGAAAGAGTGAGGGGGGGTGGGGCTGAGGGAGGGGGGAGAAATGGCCCAAACAATGTATGCACATATGAATAAATGAATAAATTTTTAAAAATGAAAAAAAGAGCTTATAATACAGTTTGTATTATAAATAGAGTTAGGAAATACAGAGAAATAAAAAGGTTGAAAAAAAAGGAATAAAAGTAATCCATAACCCACCTCCCAAAGACAATGAGCCGAGACTTTGAAGTATCTCTCCATTACCTTCTTTTAAATGCTCATTCAGAACCAGAAGGTATCTGTAGTAAAACTGAAACATCAGACGATCTACAGTGAGTAACTGCTGAATAAATTGAGTCCCGTAAGTGGGGGCAGATGGAACTGAACACAGGCAAGTCTGAGGACATACCAAGTCTAAAGGTCAAAGGATTTTATCAACTCAGGAGATGAACTTTGGGGAAATAATTAGCAAGCAAAATCCACTGCAAATCCTATTACTGAATAATCAAAGACCTCCTTCAGTAAAAGCACTCAGAAAAAAAATCACCAGTGGCTGGATGCCATGGTTCATGCCTGTAATCCATCTACTCAAGAGGCAGAGATGGGGTGGGGGTAGCGGGGAATGGCAGTTCAAAGCCAGTCAAGGCAAAAAGTTAGCAAGGTCCTCATCTCAACTAATAATTTGGGCATGGTGGTACATACCTGTGATCCCAGCTACACAGGAGGCTGTAGATAAGAGGATCAAGATCTGAGGCTGTCCAGGGGCAAAAACATGAGACTGTACTTGAAAAGTAACTAAAGCAAAAAAGGGCTGGAGCAGGGCTCAAGCATTTGAGCTCCTGCCTAGCAAGTGCAAGGCCCTGAGATCAAACCCTAGTACCTCCAAAAAGAAAAACACCAGATATGCAAAAAAAAAAAAAAAAAAAAAAAGTTTCAGTAGTTCAGAAGAAGAGTCTATTCAAAGGATTTGGGAGAAATGCATCCCAAAGCATCAAATTTACATGAAATGGGAGCGTCCACAAGATACATTTTCAGTAGGACTGGAGAGAATAGCACATCCATGAAAAGATATCATTGTGGAAGACTGTGCTTTCACTTAAAATACAACCACAGAGACAAATTTAAAAATGCAAAGGTTCCTAATAAACCGCTGGATCCTGGAACTGAGCATCAACAACCGTGAACATCGGGATAACAGTGGTCACCAGACATCATGCTGCCCCCCACCTGCCCCACCCAAAGAAGGACACAGCTACTTGTAAAGAAGTGCTGGGCCCTCCCTCAGGTGGATCTCAATCTGATCCAGGCAACACTGAGGGCAGAGGAATATGTTAACAGGAGTGCACTCTTAACTTCTGTAGGGAGGCACAAGTCAAATAAATCATTCCACAAACAAGTTGCAAGAGAGAGAGACTGAGAGACAGAGAGGGTGGACTCATGTGGATTTCATTTCATATATTTATTAGATAATTGTAAACTTGAACCCTGGCAAGATGCTTGATTGCACTGTAGAAATACTGTAAGTTTTCAAAGATATGCTCAGTGTATTAGGTTATTTTTTGAAGGCCTGCCTTTCAGTATAATTACTGATATATTTACAGATGCAGGTGTGTGTCTGGGATTTGCTTCACAAGGAAGGGAGGCAGACAGGTGTATTTAAAATGTAACTGGCCATGGCACCTGTTAAGCTGGGTGGTGGCTACATGGGATTTATTATGCTATCCCCTCTAGTTTGGTGTGTGTTTGAAAATGATCAAAATACATTGTCTTAAAACTGTACCAAAGTGAGCAAGAGGTTGGTATTCTACAAACCCCAGTTGGTGATTTAGATAATTGCTCAGGACTCCTTTCCAAACACTTTGAGGAAACAAGAGAGATAAAGTGAGTGAACCTCAGACCTCGGAGCTGAAGGGTAAAAATCAGAATTCCAGAAGGAATTAGTGATTAGAGCCTATGGAGGGAAAAGGATATACTAATATAGAACAGTCCCACTACTGGACTCACCTTCATTTAACCGATGAGCAATCCGGGTGAAAATACTCAGGGATTTTTACCCTTTTTAAATCTATTCATGTGTAGCTAGGGAACCCATGCTGTATGATACCTAGTTTTGAAATACTGAGGCTTGCTTCAATGCCTCAAACAAAAACAGTTTTTAGAAACATTCCCAAGTGCTTACAAAGACTGTCTTCTCTAGTCATTGGGTGTAGAGCTCCAAACACTCTCTGTGGTCACTTTTAAACCTTGCCCAAATTTTACCTTCCTGATTTATCAAAAACGAGTGCTGGGATCTCCCACTTGTCAGGTACTTTGTAGAGTTCCATTTGTTTATACTGCATGCATTTTGAAGCATATGTATCCTGTCTGTTTAAAAATGACTTCTCTTAAAAGAGAGTGGCAGAGCACCAGTAATATTGGAAAACATAACATCTGTGAAGGTAGAAGATATAGGATGTGTATTGAAAGCTGTTGAAAATGGGAGTGGGAGACAAAGGGGTAAGGGAGAGTAATGGAAGAGGTTGAACTAAAGTATACACACAGTGGGGATACATTGAGAACTCCTTTGAACACCAACTTAAATAATAATGAAAGACAAGACTGTGGGGAGGTACTGGTAGGAGGGAAGGTGAATGGAGATTGAGGTGAGGGTATATGGTTTCATATATTTATATGAAATAGAGCAAAGAAACTTTTGTAATTGCTTTAAGTGGGTTGGGGAAGTGGTTGAGGGGTAGAGACAATGGGAGTGATCTAACCAGTGTACAATATAAGCCTAATTGGAATTGTCACTGTGAACCCCCCATAATGAATATATCCTAATTAAAAAATTATAATAAAAATAGGTAATAAAAGCAAAAAATAAATCAACTCCTCTTTATTAATTGGACATTATTGCATCATGAATCTTTCTATAGCTAACAGTGTTCTGAAGTGATGGAGTTGATGGTTAGTATTTATTTGTCCAGTGTGATTTTTTTCCTCATCCTTTTCCTTTCAATTTTGCGTGTTCTTATGTAAACCAATGGTAAGTAATACACATCTAGAGTGAAGGATCACACACCAGGCCTTTTCTTTGTTGGAGGGCTGGGGAGCAGTACTGGGGCTTGAACACCAGCCCTTGTGCTTGTCTAGCAAGCACTCTGCTACTTGAGCCATGCCTCCAGCCCTCACAGCCTATTACTTTTGCAAAATATTTTTAAAATAATGTAAAATATAAGCCTAATTATTGTAGTATTAGATTCAACATACATGAAATGTCTGTCAAATTCACACTATCACATTTCTGAAAATATCTTGGTGTAGCCTATAACAATCATAGACCACATTTCTGAAAACCACATCAAGATTCTGTTCTGTTTAGCCAGTGGCAGACTGGTTCAGTGTAATTACTGGTACATTTAGGCCTGTTTCTAGCTCTCATCTCTAAGTGTCTTCTTTCCCCAGTTATGTTGGTTTGCATGGCCCCGAACTGCAATTTGAGATTATATCAGATATGTTTTCTTTTCCTTGCCTTTGGTGCCTGCTACTTTTTAATGAACAGGCTTATCAAGCTATTTATCTCTCAAATGTCCCTTGGTTATCGCCTACAATTTCTCTTCATGTATAAGTACTTCATCCAAAAGCAGCTAGACAGTTGTTAGACATAAAAATCTAAGTTCAAAATTCTTTTCCTGCCCTGTGTGGAGGTGCACACATTATCCCTCCAGGCTGAGACAGGAGAAGTAGAAGCAAGCCATAGTGAGCTCATGTCAAAAAACAACACACACACATACACACACACACACAATTACGACAACAACAAATAAGCCGTTTCCTTCACTCCTTAAAAAGTATAGCTCCACAGAGGTTACTACTGCTGAAGAATCTGATGTACACTGGATCCCAGCTCTTTGGGCTTTGGAGCTGCTCATTCTTTCTGAAGTTTCCAGAATGCTCTTTGTTCATTTTAAATTTTACCACCCAGCAATGAGCTACATTAAAGAGATGTGTCAACATGAAAAGATTTCCTAACACTGAGTGAAACGTGACAGTACACATACTATGTTCTTTCTTTTACATAATGCTCAAAAACGTGCAAAGTAAATAGAAAATCGTTTAGGGATACAGATATAAGGCAAAATTAGGGAAACAGGGAAAGGAAAAAGCACAAAATTCAAACCAGCAGTTCTCTCTTGGAGAGGCATGGAGTTGACCTGGGAGGAGGTCCAGAGAGTACAGGGTTCTGAAGTACTGCCTAGTGTGTGGTCCAAGAGTGGGATGAGAACATGGGTATTCTTTTATTTTAAAAAATAACTTACAAATATTTTTTGCATGTATCTATCTTAAGGTAAATATCTTCTGGATTCCTCAGAAGTGGTTCCTAAATCCAATACTTGACATGGAACCAGGCTGTATGGCCCAGAACTGTGCAGTGGTCACTAATGTCCCAAACTGCCAAAGAACCAGGGATGGAGATGGGAATGGCATTGTCTAAGTTTGCTCTAAATTGAAAAGTACACCTAGCACCTCTAGATCCACTCATATATCCCCAACCCCTCCCACACCAGGCCACCTAATGGGGCCTTGTCACGCTCAAAAGCTGCTCTTGGCTCTTTTCTGCCACCCACAACTTGGCCTTCAGATGTATCTTCTGTAATAATGGACTCAATTTCACTTCCCTGTCTCCCTCCAAATCCAGTGCCTTCCTTTGTCAAAGAAGAATTCACTCTTCTATCCTGGTCCCAGCACTGTTTCTGGAGAGAGGACCACTGCACTTGCCCTCCAGCTTTCACTATTCATCCTTCCAAGCGCCTGACAACGAGAAAGCCTGTGAACTTGCTGTAAACTGGGTTTTTCATTTGCTGGTCTCCCTCCCTAGGTGACGACTCTTAATGAATGACAATGTTCTTGGAGACCGGCCAAAGAAGGAGGCATGTGAACAGCAACACGGCGTCCAGGAGAGCTTTTATTCATACGGAACAGTTTTAAAAATACAGAATAAAATAGTTTTGTCTCTACTATTATTCACAACATCTGGTCCAAATATTACATATTTTTAAAATACTTAAACGTTTAATGAAGCCATGTTAGAAAAACAATATGAAAATTCTTTTTAAAAACTCCATAAAAGAATTACACATCTCAAAAAACAACCCCACCCCAAATACCCTCAGTATGCAAATAAAAATAAAAACAGACAAAACCCCAGAAAGGTTCATAGGGCAAGGTCAGTCACAAAAACGCAAGGAAAACAGAGGCATCTCCACTGTCTGCAGAACAGTCAGAAATTTTATTAATATGTCAAACAAAGGTGGTAAGGAACAAAAAGAAAAGGGTATTTATGTGAACTGTCAGTCAGATACCCTAAGTGCCAGGAAACACATACAGCAATTCTAAGGACGTGGGATGTTGGGGTGACGTGACGGCGAGGCACAATCAACAACCTGAAAGGACGGGAATGTTCAAGAGGCTGCTGAAAAGGACCCCTGGTGCTAATATGCTTTGGGAATCCATGAGTGGTAGCAGAACACAAATGGGCGGCCTTCTTGTACCACTGAGGTTCTGTCTGCAGGAGTGGAGGTGGGAGATATCCTATTCTCTGTGTCCAAATCTTAAGGGATGGAGGATAACATGCAGCATGTGGAACCCTGGCCTCTTCTCTGAAGGGGCAGTTCCCTAGAGACAGAAGCTCTGTGACCTTTAGGTGTAGGAGCTGTGCACTAATCTGTGCAGTGGGAGTGTCTGGGTGTGCACCGTGGCATCCAGTGACACCAGGCCAGGTGCTGTAGCCAAATGCACAGCCTAAGTACAGCTACCTGCACGATGCTGCTTCTCCCCCGCCAGCTGGGTCTACAATGAAGCTTCTGCCACTGCTCCTCACTCACCTTCTGTCTGGGCCCGGCCACTCCTGTGGCACTGATATTACCGAAGATCAGACTGGCCAATTTTAAGTCTAAGTTGCTAGATCAGTATCTCAGTAGGGACATGAATGAAAGAATTAACAACTTAGCTCATGGTCTTAAAATATACGTATGGGTAAATAAAGTATACACACATACTAGAGATTCATCAATGGAGAAATTCTATCGGCACATGACATTGTCATGAAAATTATATCATTCCCTCCCTGGAAAACTGTGACTATTATCCTGGGCAGAAATGTTATTTTACTATATGGAAATACTGCAATATTCATGCATAAACCAAGTTGTCATCATGAAAGTCAGTACTCTGCAGTATAAAGCAAATCCTGTATGTGAATTTGTTACCATGAAATGGGAAACCATTGAGATTCATGGTGCTTTGTTCCAGCTGGCCTCATAGAGCCACTTCTCTTGTCTGAATCAATCCCAAGAAACCAAAAGTTAATACTAGAAACCCTCTTAAGAAAGATTCTGAAGATAAATGTATCCATGAATCTAAGTTTAACTCCCTAGTGAGAATGACAATCATCTAACCAGTAGGGTCTTCCCTACTAGGAACCTGGCAACACCTCCTGTCTTTGTTAACGCTTTCTGCTCTCTACCATCGACACAAATGCTTTCCAAACTTCGGGGCAAGGCAGGGAGAGATGGTGAGTATGTGGTCACTGTGAAATGGAATGTCCACAGGGACATTCACAAAGTATCTTATGGTAGTCTCTTGGCAAAACAAGCAGGGTAGCACACAGCCCCAGCAATGCAGGCCAACAACTCGAACAGGAAGTGTATCAGGCACCGACCGTACCTCCCCAAAGCCTCCCCTTCAGGTGTGTGCTTGAGCTCCAGAAGATACGTATACGTCGTTTTGCTTTCAATTACGGACTTCTATTCTGCAGCAGGGAGACCTTCCTACAATGGCTTGTGCAAGTATGTGTTTCATGTGCAAGATGGGTTCGTGATCGGGGACTCCAACTGCTCAAGACTGGGTGAAAAGTACCCAGTTCAGTGACGGCATCTGGTCAGGCTGCTCTTTTTCCTTCCTCCTCCTGTCCCTTCCCCCTCCTTGGACAGAAATATCAACAGTTGGTTCCAATGGAACATGAAGGGCAAAAACCCATTTACAATGGGAGGTGGGGGGTCCTCACAGTAAAATCTGGCCAAGGAAGGGTTCAAAGGAAGAGGGTTTCTAGATACCTGAGGCCCACACACTAGTGAGAACTCTCAGAAGGGAAGATACCCAGTCACATTAGCTGACAGGAAGTTGAGCCTAAAGTATTAATGGTTCTGATGCTTCTTTTTGAAACAGGTTTTCATAGTCCAGGCTGGCTACAAACTCATGATTCTCCTGCCTCTGTTTCCCAAGTACCAGGATAACAGGCGTGTGCCACCATGGCCAGCAGTTCTGATGCTTTTTATTTGGAAACGTGTTCTTTCCGCTCACCCAAGAGCTAGAATCCTACAGATCTCTGGGACATTTAGCAGTTTTCTCCATTTTTCAGAGTAGAGAAATTAATTCATATAGAAGGAACTGAGAGCAATCATAGTGCAGGAGAACTGTCAGTCTGAAGGGCTTACCAAGGTTAGAGGGATGGAAACTTGACTAGTGTATTTCTAAAGTAACTGTGCACTGAATACACATTTAAAAGAAAACATACAAAACTTAAATGTAATTTAGAATCTAAGTTCTTTACTTAATCTGCAGTAAGATTTTGGCAAAACAATGAGTGGCTCTGAGGTGATTTTGAAACCCAAAACTTCCAGGAGTCAAGGGTGTAGAAACAAAGACCTGAAAAGTTGGTGAAGTTGAGACAGCCTGGGAGCCAGGGCACAGGAAATGCACCCTGTGGACACAAGGCTGCTGAGAACCATGTCCTGCTGGGGCAGACAGGAACACCCACTGCCGCCTGAAGTTTAGGCAGGTCAAAAGCCATTTAAGAAAGGCACAACCTCATGAAGCAAGGTCAGTATGTTATGTCTTAGGCTTTTCCTTTGGCTGAAACCTTTGAACCAAATTCAGTAGAAGCCACTTTGTCAGGAAGAATTTAGTGTTGTAAGATAGAACTCTTAACAGCACCTGTTAGCTGTTTTTCTTACCATCCTCTGCAACAAATTAAAGGGAGTGTTTAGCGAAGGAATCTTCCTTTCCCTTCTGCAAAATCAAGATCCACTGGCATGCCACATGGTAACCCCAGCAAAGACTCTTTAAGCTGTACCTGCCAGAAATGACTTTGAACAGAAGAATGGGAGAAAAATCTATCAAGATGATGGACCATCCAACAGGGCGGCTCTGTTTGTTACCTGTCCCAACTTCCCTTCTCCACAAAACAAATTCACATGTCACCTGACCCACAGTTTCTGGGCTCTGGTCCAGTAGTCAGTTTTGATAAATAGATTAGGCATTACAGTATTTACACTTTCATGGTATCAAGCAATACAAAACACAACCACAACAATGGTTACTAGCCTTCAAAAGCCATTACAACGAGCTTCCCTGATGGCATCCACAGCTTTACAAATGCTGGTTCTTTTCTTAATGGAGGTGGGGAGTGGGGGACGAGTGATGGGGTGCAAGGGAAGAGGACCATATGAAAAACACTGATTTGGAAAATCTGCTATAGTCAGTAACATTAAATAGTTTGAATAAAACCTTGTAATTATAGACGCGCATAACAATAAATCTACATGACAACAGAGCCAAGACACCCATAGCCTTATCTGACTGGTGCCTCTGTGTGGCACTCTATACCCATCACACCAGCCAGTAGTGATAAATGCTAAACAGGGCGTCTCTGCCACTAAAAGAGGTCAGTGTGAAATGTGCTGGCCCAGATGGGGCCAAGGAGGCAGGGAAAAGAACAACTGAGAATCCCGACTCAAGTCCTTTCCCTTCCCTTTTAGCCCCTAACAGAATTCTATTCAACAGTATCTGCACAGACTTCACACATGCCCACAACTGGGCACATGGCAGCCATGCCACTGTTTCCAGTTAGGTCAATAGCTTCCTACAGAAGTATCAGGAACAACAGAATACACTGGACCAGGGAGTTGTGACAATGTGAGGACACTGGTGCCCCTTGGCCAAAGACAGCCTCTGTAGGCACAGGCTGAGGTCAAGAGAAGAGAAAATAGGCCTTCATCCTGGAGGTGGCTTGTAGGAAAGCTGGCATGGGTGATGGGAAGGGATTGAAAAGAAGTACTCCTGTGGGAGGACTGGAATCTCAAGTTCAGTGACCATGGCCAGCAATGGACACTCTCAGAGGGCAAAGGATCGGGGCTTAAATAAGGAAACAGGTGAGACACCATATTTAGACACAATCACCGCCCACAACAGAAGAGTGACGCAACCTGTCTTAGCTCTGGGATGCAGAATGTAAATGTAGATATACAAACATATATTTTACTTCTTGTTACTCAGCAAGGAACTACAGATACATGCCTCACTGTGGCTGGGCCACAGGGCACAGCTAAGGCTATACTGTGGCCTGCGAGTCTTCATCTGAACTCCGACTGTTCTCACCCTTCCCGAAGCCTTTCCATGTGTAGCCTGCAAAGGTTGGGCTGATGGGTAGGTAGCTGAAGCATTTGTATTTTTTAATAATGTTCATGCCAAATGGCAAATTGTAGGATTCCATGCCATCAAGAGACTTGCTGCCTTTGCTCACGCCCTTCTTCCATTTCCTGATTCCTCTTTCCTCTGGAGTACCTGTCACGCACAAACCAAGCACAACACAACAGAACAAACTATTTAGTTTACCAGTTCTATGAAGAATGAGAGTTGACAGATCAAACCTGCCTGAGTGATGGCAAAGAACACCTGAGAAGCTGAAGGTGCTCTGTTCTCCAAATGCCCAAACCAGAAGCCCCAGAATCCTTAATCCTTCCTTGCCCCTCTTCTTCTACATTCAAGTCACCTCTTAACATCGTTATGCCCTCCCTGACCTTTCACATGACCCACATTCTCAACTTTCACTGCTGAGGCAGAGCCCAGGCCATATTACTGCTTTCCTGGGTCACGGTATTGTTCTCCTAACTGGTTGTCCAGCCTTCTATCTCACCACCCCTTCCCCCAAATCTGGTCTCAACTATGATGCAAAAAGTGAAAAGCTGATTTGAGTCTGCAAAATAAATTCAGTCTTTATGATAGCACACAATGCCTCCATCAGCCAATCACTGTACACTCAGCTCATTTCAGTGTGTGGGGTGGGGGAAGGGGGGAGACAGAGTAATTCTTGAGCTTGAGTTGTTTACTAAGATTTTTTTTTTTTTTAAAGACAAGGTCTTACTATGTACCTCAGGCTGCTCTTGATCTTGAGATTCTTCTCCTGCTGCCTCCGAAGTGCTGGGATTATAGGTGCGTACCACCAAGTCTATTTTAAGATTTTCCCCTTAAAACAAGCTCACCTTCAAAATGCTTCAACCATAAGACTTCTGGGGAGCTCAGGGGTAGTCACTCAGGAAGAAAGAACTGCATCATCCCTCCTTGAAGCAGCACTTTACAACAGCATTTGCCTCTAAGAAACTGGGAAGGTTCCAAGATGGGTCACATCCCACCTAGTCCATCACCCATTGCTCACTACGGAATGCACCCATCAATAAGAGCTATGACAGCTGGAGGTCTCGCTATGTTGCCCAGGATGGCCTCACAATCCTGGGCTCAAAAGATCCTCCTCAGCCCCCCAAGCAGCTGGAGATATAGGTGTCTGCCAGTGAACCCAGGTTCTGCTTCTCATTTTTATTTGGCAAAAAGTAACTAACATATGTCATAATCATGTTTGATACACATCACATTACCTGGGATGGTGTTGTCCAAAATAAAAGCCACACAACCTCCTACAAACATTGCAGTTGTGAGAAGGACATTCAACACTTGATCGACTCCTGTTATGCCTAGAAATAGAACAGAACCATCAAAAGAGTTATTGCCGGAGCCAGGATAGGCTTTCCCTTGACTCAGAAAGGAAAAGTGGGGTGGGCACAATTCTGCCAGTCAATGCAACGTGTGAAAATATAAATGTCTCAATCGTGTATGTGTAGATAATTTTTTTGCCCAGTAATGTTTTAAACTATGAATACTTTCAATAATAATACAAAATCTCCACGAGAAAAATTTCTGACAGTGGTGCCTAGACGATGACTCTAACGGAATGACATTTACCCTAGAACAAACTATGAAACAACTGGGGTGTTGTCTGCAGATTAAAGAAAAAATCTAAATAAAAGACTGGCATTGTAAGGCTGAAAAAAATTATAAAATGAATAATAAAATAACAAAAATATTTGTGGCTTCTGAAGCCCAGGGTTTTGAGCATCCTTGGCTGCTAATTATAGTCTAGCTGCTTTTAATTAGGAGCAACTGGATTCATGAAGCTGTCCTCCATGAATGTGATACTTTAAAGTGTAAAACACTTCAACAAAAAATAAGTGCTGGTGAGGATGTGTAGAAATATGAACCCTCACGATAGTCAATGAGATGACAAAATGACACAGTCACCAAAGAAAACAGTCTGGCAGTTCCTCAAAAAGCTAAGCACAGTTACCATATGACCCAGAAGAACTGAAAAAAAGTATCAACCAAACATTACTCACTGATTCCATTTCTGTGAATGGCACTAAGATTAATCTGTAAACCCCAAATAAATACCCTTGGCACTTTCAGTTATTCATGGGCATGCAGAGAATAGTGAAAATTTGGAGCTGCCCAACACACAAATTCCCAGATGATATCAAACAAGGTGACTGTCTTTGGGTTTTGGCTCTCACTGTTAGTAAGTGCCCGTTTTGGCAGCCTATTTAAAACTATGTATGTCACATTTTGTGCTTTCTGTTGGTGACTGTGCTATTTAAAATGGCCCCAAGTGCCAGGCACCAGTAGCTCACACCTGTTATCCTAACTACTTGGGAGGTTGAGATTGGGAGGATCGCAGCTTGAGGCCAGTCTGGGCAAACAGTTTGTAAGACCTCCATCTCCAAAATAACCACAGCAAAATGGACTGGAGGTGTGGCTCAAGTGGTACAGCATCTGCTTTGCAAGCGTGAAGCTCTGACTTTAAACCCTAATCCTAACCTCCAAAAATAGACTTCTAAAATATACTACCAATGTAGAAGAATCTTGAAACTACTATGCTAACTGAAAGAAAATAGACACAAAAGGCCATATATTGCTGTAGGTTAAGTCTGTAGAGACAGAAAGCAGATTGGAAGCAGAGGAAGGGAGATTTAGTGGTTAAGAATATGGAGTTTATTTTGGAATGAAGACATGTTTTAGAAATCAGATAGGGGGTAGTGGTTGGATAATTTTGAGTTCAAAACCCCAGTACCACCAAAAAAAAAAAAAAGTCCTCAATTGTACACTTGCAACAATAAAATATGGTTGCTTTCTCCTTTGTTCACTCTCCTTGACATCAAGGTATTTTTTTTAAATAAAAAGTAGGCGCTAAATAGGTAATCTTTAATTGAAAATACCTACAATTTCAATATAAAAAGTCTACAAAGTTGATTTTAAAAAATTATACATTTTCTTGTGTACATTTTGTTTTTTGAGCTAGGGTCTTGCTTATGTAGCCCAGGCTAGCTTGAAATGCATGTTTCTTCTGTCTCTGTCTCTTGAGTGCTAGGATTACAGATATGGATGGACTATCATGCCCAGCAAGAAATTATACATCTAAATATGGCATTATTCTGAGAAATCAAAAGGTTTTACAGAGGCATTATTCCCAAAGGAGAGAGCCCCAGTGAAAAATCCTGACAACCACATCAACTCTTATGCACATGGCCAGTATGTGTAGGAGGCCCTGGGGCCTCCAGAGAAGCTACTACAGAGTGAGATCCAGAAGAGATGCAGAGATGAAGGTTCAACGACAGGAGGCCTGCGGCTACAGGTTCAACGACAGGAGGCCTGCGGCTACCAAGTTCTCCTCCACTGGGAAGAGCTGGCTGAGGTTCCAACTTTCCCACTGCAGCTTCAAGGCCTGTTTCCCCTACCTGTAACTAGAGGGTTCTGTCTGAGGTAACTTGGAAGGACGAGCCCGAAGAAGATTGAGAATCCAAGCACAAAAAGGTTCCGGGAAGAATTCAAGTCAATGAACTGTAGGTTAGAGAGCCCAACTGCTGTAATCATTCCTAGGGAAAAAAACACCAGATGACATGTTTCAGTGAGTTTGCGTGCAGCATGGTGACAGGTTATTCCCAGCAGATGAGGACAGACTTCCTGGTGTCCCTTCTCTGTCCACCAAAAACCAGCTGGGAGAACACCAGTGGCAGGAAAAGGGAAGGTATGGGGCTGGAATGTGACCACCTTGTCTCTGTCCACCAACCCTCAGCATAAGCATCACACAACATTTTCTTTAAATTGAGTAGATGATGAAGGATGCTGACAACACCTCTATAGGCACATTCCAATTAAACTGGGAAACCCACAAAATGTTTGGTCAATGTCCCTGATAACTGAATAAAACAGAGATCAAATCCAGAGTCCCATGGTGGAAATGGACAAGTTTAAATAGCCCATTCACAGAGGAAGATATTTAAATTAAGTCAATTAGAAATTCTTATTAAAGACACTAGATTTAATCTTAATTATCGTGGTATAACTTTTCTTATTGCAGGTCTTATCTTTAAATTTGACTCAAGAGAGTGGCTATAGGCCTTTATTTTTTGAATATATAACCTTTCATATTTTAAATCAGAAATTTATTAGCATTAATCTTACTGAAGGGAATTGGCAAAAAACCCCAATCCCCATTATGAACTGGCCGATGTGAAGAAAGGTGCTTGTGGGGAAGGCCGATAACAAGGTGGATGCTTACCAAAGAGTGTGCAGAAGAGGGCTCCGAGCACAGGGTCTGGGAGGGACGCGAAGAGGGCGCTGAACTTGCCGATCATGCCCAGGCCCAGCATGAGGGCGGCACCGTACTGGATCACCCGGCGGCTGCCAACCTGTGGACACACCAGAAGCAGACACCAGCTCACCTACTGTCCTCCAGCCCAGCCTCCCAGGGCCCAGGAGGACTGAGTCCTTGGGTAGAGTCTAGGTTCCTCATTTAATCTCTCAATACTCAATTAGTATAAATTACTACACAGACAAATCAAGTAGAGTCGTCTCCCCCACCCCTGCCATCCTCTCAACCTTCCTCTAACTCATCGTATCTTAACTGTGTGTAGGTGGTCCCAAGGATCAGGGGTCAGGGATTGGCCTTTGCTTCTCCATGCTCTGGATGATGTCACCTGTGCTCAGGTGGCAAGGAAACTGGCTGAGATGACCCTCTGGGGTCTCAGATGCTAAGGGTATATTCCGCCATTGTTTCTCTTCCAGGTTCCGCAAACCACCCTTTACCAGGTCAACTCGCCAAAAGTCCTTAGACCTTGATTCTATCTTCCCTAAATTTCCTGCTAAGTCAGATATTACCCACCACCACCACCCCGCCAAACATTTCTGGAACCACCTCTTCTTATGATGTCTTGCCTGTAGAAGGCAGTGCTGTGCCGGATGCTGGTGGCTCATGTCTATAATCCTAGCTACATGGGAGGCAGAGATCAGGAGGATCATGGTTCTAAGCCAGCCTGTCTAAATAGTTCATGAGACCCTATCTCAAAAATATCCAACACAAAAATAAGGTTGGTAAAGTGAGTGGCTCAAGTGGTAGAGTGCCTGCCTAATAAGTGAGGCCCTGAGTTCAAGTCCCAGGACTGCAAGAAAAAAAAAAAAAAGAGGTGGTACGATGCAGGAGCCAAAGAGTGCAGAACTGACAAGCCCAGCTGCTGGTCCATGCACTAGTCTCACCTCTGACTGTATGACCAGGCCAGTCAGCCTCCCTGGCTCTCAGGATCCTTACTCTATTGCAGATCAGACTCTTGGTTTTGCTTTAGGAATTGAATGACAAACCTGAAGTAGTCTGAATGGAGCCTGGCCAGCACAGAGCTATTTGACAGCTTCCTACCTGGGCTTGCTGCCTTGGGCCCTTCCTCCGCTTACTGTCATAGAATAGCCTTTCCAACACACTGATTTGGGAAAATAAAACCCACTTCTCAGGTTCTTCCCAATACCTGCTACTGAGCTCCCTTGCCCTGTGTCCTGGCTCCACTGTGTTGGGGGGCTTACCTCCTGTGAAACCTAACCTCTGCCTTCTAGAAGCTTCCATCTAACCTGCTGTCATTCAGATAGCAGGAGAAAGAGCTGGCATCTGGCTCAAGAATTTTACACTGTTGGCCCCTACTTTTTCTGCCTTATCCTGGACTACACCCTGAAGACATGAACCAGGTAAAGAAGGTTCCAGAAATGTTTGGGGAAATTTCCACAGGATTTTATATATGACTTCATACACACACACACACACACACACACACACACACGTGTACACAGACACACAGACACACACACACACACACACACATATAATATATATATATATATATATAAGACAAATTACCTAAATTTAATTAGAATGAAACAAAATTTTAAATTCAATTCCTCCTGTGCACTGGCCACACTCTGAGTGCCCCCTGGCATACAGCTGGTGGTAGTAGGTCATGGTTAACTGTTCTGAACAGTGCTGGTCTAAAGCTCCCAAAAGCTCCAGGGATCCGGAGTCAGCAAGGTGAGCAATAGAGCCTGTCTTTCACTGTGTGAATGAAGAGTCAGTCCCAGCAGACTTCTAGATCCCACAGTCCTGATCCAGTCCCTCCCCACACCATGAAGAGCAAGCAAGTAGCAGGAAAGATCAAACTGATGGACTAAGCAAAAATCACTTATGTTTGGCTACAATTACACGACAAAGAAGTCTTTCATCTGAAAGTGGCTCATTTTTCAGTAAACTTTTTTAAGGCTCTATTGTGTCATCACAGATAGATACAAAGATGAATAAGCCACAAGCTTGTGATCAAATAATGACATTGCTCTGCTGTTTGGGAACCAGTGGCAGAAAAGAGAAAATCTAGGTTGGGAGGGTTACTGGAGATGGTCTTGAGGACCAAGCAAGAATTCACTGGAGGAAGAGCTGCCAGGCAGAGAAGAGCTGCCTGTGAGAAGTTCCCCGGCAGGGCTGGGCAGCCCTGCCAGGAGTGTGGGGCCAGGCTGGTCCAGGGACACCTACAACAATAGTTTGTATGAAAACCATACATGGAAGGCTGGTCTGCTTTTCACACAGTCAAAAAACAAGCAGCAACTAAGCCCACTCTTCTGTTCAGTGAACATTTCCTGAGTGCCTATATATGCGTCCCCCCTCCACATGGCCCTAGAATCCCTGTCTTCCTGGAGCCTGCTTCCGTAAGGTCCTTGTGCCATCTCATACTGCCCATTCCCTGGAACCTCCTCACAACTGCCTCTGACCTTCTAACCTGAACTGCAACAGCTCTGCCTATAGGACCATTAACAATTCAACACTGAGGGCAAAATAGTTTCTGCCGGGTACAGAGGGGATGGGGGGGAGAGGGAGGGGGTGGAGTGGGTGGTAAGGGAGGGGGTGGGGGCAGGGGGGAGAAATGACCCAAGCATTGTATGCACATATGAATAGTAAAACAATAAAAATTAAAAAAAAAATTCAACACTAAACTGAGCACTGTTGTTGGTCACACCTATAATTCCTAGCTACCTAGAAGGCAGGTATCAGAAGGATCATGTTTCAGAGCCAGCCCTGGGCAAATAGTTCTTGAGGACTCTATCTCAAAAATACCTAACCCAAAAATGAACTGGTGGAGTGATTCAAGTGGTAGAGAGCCTGCCTATGCAAGAGTAAGGCCCTGAATTCAAACTCCAGTACAACACACACACACACACACAAAAAGTCAAACCCTGTGTTATGACTTTCCAAGTCCTCAACACTGTGGAGTGCATCGAAGAGAAATGACCTTCCTTGAACACCACCTAAGAGATACTACATCCAGGGAGACTGTTTTCACTCCATTATTAGAAATAAATCAAGGGCCAATAATCATAGTATACTTACCAGGTAAATCAAGTGATTAATTCTACCACCTTGCAAGCTACCTTTATAGACATGGGTATGGTGACCAGGAAGGTGATATAATTTGCCCATGGCCACATTGAGGGAAAGTAATGGAGCCTGGGCTGGAATCCAAAGCCATTACCCTCACATTGTGTCATACTGCCCATGTCTGTAGGACAGACACTTGGACCACGCTCAGAAGCAGGTAACCTCCACTCTGGTAAAACAGGTTAGCAATTCCATGTACACAGAATGTAGTAATTGCATGAAGGATAGCAAATAACAGAGCTGCAGGAAATGGAGGCAGATCCTAAGGGAGAGATGAAGACCACCTTCCTCGTGTGCACCCTGGATCCAGTGGCTCAGCCAGCACTGTCCAGTACAGTTCACTAGATAATGGAAACACTCTTCACCTGTGTTTTCCACTGTCAGCCATCAAGCCACATGAGATGCTTGAATTTTTAACTTGAACTTAAACTTACAAAGACACAAAAAGCTACTGACTACCATACTAGACAGCACAGATCTAGATTTGGAAATGCAGGATTTCAGAGGCAGAAAAGCCTGTTCCAAAGAAGATTGTCCCAACTCCTTCAGCTGGACAAGGGACAGGACAAGTGTAGAACTCCTGCCTCTTCTCTCCTGTGTGTGTGTGAAGGGGCTTTACAACTGGCTGCAAGGCTAGGGCCACACAGACATTTCTGCTACAGTCCCACCTCCTTATTCCCAGGCAGACCCAGATGGACTTGACCACGACTATAACCCTTTTTCTCCTGGGATCAAGTCAGGTAACGTGACTCCAAAGCTGACACATGGACTTTGACTGGATGCCATCTTTGTCTGGGGAAGTGTCGCCAATGGCTGGGTCCAAAGGGATTCAGAGCAACATCAATTAGTTCATTAAAAAGTGCTGGCACCATTTTTTTGTCCTACAGAAAAAGCTGGCGCCATTCAAATTTTAATAAAGATAATTATTCCGCAAACCACCTAGGTATGGGCAGGCTATAGAAAGTACCTTGCTTACTCCCTCCAGTGAACTTAGTTATGTGATGTGCTTTAAAGGGGTATAGGAAAGAGGTAGCTTGTTAACTGTTTTCCTCCCAAGTGACCCATCTATCTATAGCAATTTTATGACTGTCTTTGGAACCAGTTTATGTCTATAGGCTCATGGCTACTGATTACTGTATTCAATGGCATGGACCTAGATATGGAACTGTAAAGTTCTCTATCCTATTCTAGCTCAGAAGTGACCTGACTTATTCCCATCTACGCCCATTAGACCCTTCCCTCAGCTTCTGGACTGGACACTTGCTTCTTACCACGGGCAGCAAAAGGCCCCAGGATTGGCACAGGAGGAAGTGCCCATCAAGCAGCCCTCCCTTGTATGCCATGCACTGGGAGTTAACAGGCAGCAGGTGGGGCCATGAGAACACAGGAAGCTGAGTTCTGGCCCACCCCTGCCAACTTAAGAGGAAAATCAATAAACAATGCAGGTATATACCCATCCCCATGCTTCCTCTCACCTGGATTTGTAATCAAGATTAATCAAACTTAGTATTGGGTTTCTTGTCACCTGGTTATAGAATCTTGCAGAGTGGGAGGGAAGATTTCTTTGGAAATCCATGTCTAATCCTGCCTAATTTTGCAGAGATCAAACAGGTCTAGAAGGCTTCCAGATCTCACCCCAAGTTCTCAGGTGAGGAGACCCGTGACTCATGCCAGCCATTCAGGATAGGCAGTGAGCTTTAACAGTCTTCAGTTACATAGCATCCAATGGCCTTAGAGTTGCTCTTGGCAAAGAATACTGTTTGGCCTAAGGCAACTGGGATACAAAGTTTAATTACCTGTAATAAAGTTGAAAGACCCTGAAGCAGGCTCCTTCTTAACGAAGCTGGGAGTCTGTGTCTAGGGTGGGGTAGAGTGGGGAGGAAGGTCAAGTGGGTGGAACTAAAACCGAGGCTTCTGCTCCAGAAGATTCACTATGACTCTACAGATTTCATTTGAAAGAGGATTCTGCTATGGAGGTTTGAAAACTTATTTCTTTAATGTGAGACAGATGGTTTTCTGTAGTGAGGGGCATCCCCTGAATTAACCACTCGTTTTTATCCACTCCGCAGTCTGCTCCCATCACAGGTACCAAAGTGACCCTTAAAAGATCAGATCGAGTTGCTCCCTATGGTATCCCCTTCTCAGTGTCTGTGGCTGCCAACAAGGCCTGTGTGACCTGGTCCTCGTGATCCTGTCAAATAGCACTGTCCTTATTTTCTGTCCCCTCCTCCACTAGATTCTGTGCTGACCTTCCATTCCCAGAACATCAGCAGGCTTCTTTCTCACTCAGGTCACCTTCTCAGTGGGGCCTGGCTTGACCACCCTGTTTTAACACTTAATCACCCTTTCCTGGCCCCCTCCCTTGCCCTATGTTTTCCCTCCCATATTAATCATTAAACCCCTATTTTTCTATTCATTGATGTACCCCAAAGCACCTAGAACAGGAGACTGGCACAGGTCAGTAGTTAATATTTGCAGATTGCAAGAAGCAATGACAGCACCTGAATGCTTCCCTACTCAGGCCAGCCAAGGGGGAAGAGACCTCCAAATGGGCATTCCAAAAATTCATCAAAAGGGAAAAAGGAGATGGAGAGGAAGATGGTAAGAATGGGAGGTCAGATCAATCAGAGAAACAGATAAATTCTTGGAAAGACCCAACCATTTAATTAGGAAAATATTTGTACCTTTGTAATTCCCAAAACTCCAATGTTGGGACTAGATGAAGTAGAGCCATTCCCAGTACCAAATATGCCATCGAGAACACAGGAGAGACCTTCCACGAAAATCCCCCTAAAATGTAAAGAAATGGGGGAAAGAAAACCATTCATTCAATGGGGGAAACATTGAAACAGGCTCTAAATATTTACATCCACAAGTGTGGCCTACAGAACTATAGCTTCTATGCCTCTTGGGGAGGAGAGGGGTTTAGAAATGCAGAATCTCAGGCCCCAACCTGGACCTGCTGAAGCAGAACCAGCATTCCACTGGGACCCCACCTCCCCATGCTCATCAATTCTGAGAAGACTCTCTCAAAACTGCACATTAAACACAGGTGTTTTGAAATCATTTCCTTAGCCAGAAAATAAAGGCACCTGTTGAGATCTAAGGCAAACATGAGCCGTCCACTGAAGTGAAACACACTGATTTGATTCTTTACTATTAAAATGGAGTTTCATTAGGAAGGAAATGTTATGTTTTGTAATTCTATAGACAATGAAACTTTTTAAAAAGTCAACACATGAGTAGTTTCATCTTCTGCAACAGCTTCATTAGAGAAAGATGCAAAAATCAGGATAGAAAACTACCGGACAGAACCCGTGCAGGTCATGGAAGAACAAGCCCATCAAGCTTGTCCACACAATTCATTCCAGAGGGGCAGCAACTGGCAGGGAAACTGGGGATGGTCTGGGCTATTTTCTTCTCTCTGCAGCCTCCTTAGGGTTAATTCTCTACTAACTTCCAGAAAGTAAAGTCCAAGTGTTTTGAGGGTGCAAACCCCACAGCTCACAAACCTCTCGATTCTTCAGGTTTCATTTACTATTCTTCCTATCACTATTTCTATGAGGTGTAAATGTGAGTAGATTATACAGCAACTCCTCTTAAATACAGTTGAACTGCATCTATCTGACAGACCTGTCTGCTGCTAAGCCTTCTCCTGCAGATGCAAGAGAAAAGTGTCCTCATGCCAAGAAAGAATGTGAGAAAGACAGACTTTTGCAACTCAGAAATAACCTTGTAAATCATGACAAGTCTAAATTTTGAATTTACATGAAAAACAAAAAGAACAGTTGGGAAAGCAAGACAACAGAAAGTCAAAGTAAATATATATTAAAAATGTCACAAAACCAAGCAAAGAACAAGGGCAAGGCCTGTCATTTGTTTTGGCGAGTTTCAGGGTTACAGTGGTCTCACAGACAGTGTCTGAGAGACCAGGAGGAAGGAAGGCTAGGACGTCCATTTTCTGTTACAGATGGGAACAATCAAGGCAAATGAAGGCAGTGGTTTGTTCTTGTCCAAAGATACACAGCCAATAAATAGGCCTGCTGCTTGGTGGCCTTCATGTTGAAACCCTTAATTTTCTCTTCCAAGGTTATGAGTGGATGAAGAACTGGCCTTCTCGGGGACGTACCTGTTTATTGCATGGATAGGAGGTGGTGGGGCGCAGGAAAGCCTGGCGCAGGCATAGTAGTCACCGATGGACTCAATGATACTGGCAACTACGGCACTAAGCATGCCGATGACACCGGCCGCAGAGACGGTGGGCAGTCCCCACTGAACTGAGGAAGGAAGACAACCGAAAAAGATGGGTTCAGTATAGGGAAAGAAAAAACTGTAAGACCTCAGGGGACCCTGCAAGATCTGCTTGGATTCTCATAGAAACCATCACTGTACCAGATGTCTGGGAAAGTTACTGAGTCAGGGTCCAGTGAGGACTGATCTTGACATCTTTATTTAAGAAAAGAAGTCCCTTGGCTGGGAGAGGCAGATGTTCCTGTTCCTGCTTCAAAGTCATGTTCAGTGTCTACTAAGTCACAACTTAACACACCCTGCTCTGTTGAAATTGAAATCTCTACAAAAGGGATTTATTACACTGCTGTAGAGAGCATGGGACAAAATAATGCATCAAATGAAAAGTCACCAGGTAATCTAATTCCCAACAGTAAAGATACAGACAATCTTCTGCTATACTAGTACATTTTTCCCCCTGAGTAAACCTTAGAGCATGTTATGGAAAATAATTTTATTAAAAAAAAAAGCAAAAAGTTCCATCACAGTGTCTGAATTTGCATAATTCTTCATTAAGTTTTTTTTTTTAATAGTATATTAAAAAAAATATTTTAGTATATTTTTTAGTATATTTAAAAAAATTATATTTAGTATAATTTTTAGTATATTAAAAAAAATATTTTAGCATGGTTTCCCTGAACCATTACGTATACTACTCCCACCGAAGATAAAGCACAGTGGGAAAGGAACATGGATAAAACTCAGTCTCTTGGGTGGGAGCCAACCCTATAGCTCGGGGAACAGAACATTCCAAGAGAATGAGAAAGAGGGTGATAGTTCAAGTTCAAATGAAGGTAAGCCAAGTGTACATGAAGCAGTCAGTCCTTGTCCAGGGAAGGAAATGAGGAGGACATGGGAATAGAGTGTCCCTTGAAGGATGGGGAGTGTATGCAGAATGAGCTGGTGCCCAGCATGCATAGGGCACAGAAGGGCATAACAAGCCACCCAGAAGGGTTTGGCATTTTTGTGGCATTTAACAGGGAGCAACCACAAGCTTAGGAAGAGAAAAATGACACATAAGGTAAGATTTGCAGATCATTCCTGAGTGTGAGGGTACAACTGCTCTACCCTATGGGAACAGTCAGAGAAGGCAGAGGCCGCTGGGGCCAGGAGTAAAGGTAGTTCCCAGGCAGCAGCATGGCCAATATGCTTGGCCAACACCTCCTCACAGGTTGGTTCAGGGATTTTCTTTATCAGGTCATCTTTGAAGTTTTCAAAATGACCCTTTAAGCTGTTACTGTTGTAACATTTTGTATCTTGATTTTGAGGGGAGATTCCTATTTCATTCTAACATTTACAAGTTGAAAATTCTTAATCCAAAAGTCTGAAATGCTCTAAAATCTGTACCTCTTGAGAACTGACATGATGCCACAAATGGAAAATTCTAAACCTGACGTCATAGGATCTGTTGCAGTCAAAATGTAGGTGTACTAAAAAACAGTGTATAAAATTACCTTCAGACTACGTGTACAAGGTATATATAAAATACAAATGAACTTTGTGATTAAAACTTAGGCTCTACCCATAAGTTATTTCATTATGTATATGCACATTTCCAAAATTAAAAAAAAAATCTATATCCAAAATACTTGTGGGCCAGGCATTTTGGAAAAAGAAATATTCAACCTGTGCTATTCTTTCAGAAAGTGCTTTGTATTTTCTCAGTCTCTTTACTTTTACTGTTGTCGTTTTTTTTTTTTTACTTTTTCCTGAAGCCCTTAATTCTGATTTTCTAAAATCTTTATGTCCACATTTTAAATTTATAATCTTAATTTTTAATCCCTTTATGCATACACACACCTTGATGGCTTCCAGCCTTCTGTCTGAAAGCCGTAGAACTTTTGCTTTGGTTTTTACTTTATGACAGGTGGTTTTTTTTTTCAGTCTTGGCACTGTTGACATTTTGGATCAGAAATCTGTTTATTAAAAGCCAATCCAGCTCATGCCTACAATCTTAGCTATTCAGGAGGCAGAGATCATGAGGACTGAGGTTCAAAACCAGCATGGGCAATTAGTTGCAAGACCCTATCTTGAAAAAAAACCCATCACAAAAAAGGGCTGGTGGAGTGGCTCAAAGTGTAGGCCCTGAGTTCAAACCCCAATACCGTGCCAAAAAAAAAAAAAAAAGGCCAATCTAGGAAATTCTTACCATTCTAAAAGTTGAGGAACATGCTCCTGATATTTGCAAACTACTCTGGGTTAAGGCAAAGCACTGGAGAGTGCACAAGACTAAGTTTCTGGAGGTGGCTTTTTATCCGGGGAGCTCTGGCACCCCACTGGCTCTCTGCAGCTAAACATTGTCCTAATGACTCACTGCCACAGTGACACCAGGCACCCTATCCACTAAGTGACAGCATCTTGTGTGTGGGCCTCACGAGGGCCCTGGGGAGTTCCTCTGGTCCTGACACAGGAACAGCAGCCCACCCCATGTTCCTATTGATACTCATCCAGGAAGCTGGCTGTACAGGAACAGGCCACCTGCATGTGCTGTGGCAGTTTCCTCCCACCTATCCTCCTATGCTGCCTCGTGACTGCCTCATTAAGTGGCTGGCAATTTCATTTTATCCTGGATTACTGTTACGTTTAGGTACCGTGCACATTCTTTTGTGGAAACAGGATAGGTATACAAAAATATACACTCAGACCCCATGTGATCTGATGAGAATGTTATTTTAGAAAGACTACACTTTTTAAAGTTTTTGTAACTGTATCAAGAGTTAGGGACAACCGCCAACACTGTCATCATTCAACATTCTTAGAGAAGTCATCTTTGACCCACCCTTAATATTCTTGGCTTTTCTTGCTTTTTCTCCTTGTCCTTAAAGAATACGAAAATAAGATAGTTGAACAGAGGTATAAATTGGCTCAACCTAACTCAGCTCAGGCTTCAATTCTAGTAAAACCCCAAAATGCTGGGAATAAAGCCATCACAATACAACCGCCAAGCATGTAACAACCACTGAACTCATGAGGTTTACTTTTGGGGTGGGAGGGGATCTAGAAAATGCTACATGTGATTCCAGGAGATATCTCAGCTGGAGATCATATTCTCTGCCCCCTGAGTCACCCAACACTCAAATTAAAACTTAAGATCCATCTTCCGGCTACTTGTGAATATCAATTTACCTCTGCAGCTGTGACCAAACTAAAATGATTACGGCCACTGATTAAAAGCTTATATAAACCCCATCACACATGAGCAGTTTGCTTGCTAATCTCCAAGCCTCTCCTACGCAAGCTTTCTCATTTTGGCAGCTCACTTTGGTACTGAGCGGCTTCATGCCTTCCTTTCTCAACAGCTGCCCTCAAATCCTGGCCATCAGAGCTCAAACTTGGTGAGAAACTCCTTGTCCAGGATTTCATCCTAGCAGAGCCCAGAGAGGAAAGCAGTTAACCTGAGAAGGGAACTGGTTAGTGTCTGTGTGTTGCAGGCTGCCCTCTAGGGACAAGGCCTTTCTTTTGTGCTGTCTAATCCTGTAATGGCCAGAACTTTAGGGGACATTCTGGGACAAAGAAGGCTTTCATGTTACAGAGCCTTCTGCCTAGTCCTGATCCCTCCAGATTGGACCCTCCTACCCTCCTCGAGCCCTCTGGCCACCTAGATACTTACATGGATATGGAACCTTAAACCACGGGGCTACCAGAAGCACACCCTGCCTGGCATTGGTGCGTGCATAGAAGCCGTACTTTGTGCTGTCAGGAGGGAAGACATCGGTCACTGTGAAGATGAAGCACAACAGCCAGGACACAAGGATGGCCAGGATTATCTGAGGTGGTCAAAGGGAGAAGCTTTGTCAGGTAACAGAGCTAATAGTTGTTGGCCAAAAACACCCTTCCACCCTCCACAACCCACTACAGTCAGTAGTCTACAGACCTCCTCCTTGAATGGAATTGCACTGAAAGCAATTCTATGCAGGTTAAGTCACTCTGACATTCCAAAGTCTGGCTAGTAAAGTAAGAAAGGACACAGTGCCCGGCAGAGGCCACGTGGAGTCAAATCTCAGTCCCAAAGACTGAACCCTCTTTCTTTGGTACTACTAAAAGGATTTGCTCCATTCCGAAACTACTAAGGTTTCGGAACTGGAACCTTAAATGGTTTCTAAACCTTAAAGTCATGATGACCGGGGTGCTAGCTACCCCAACGTCACCATAGACATAGTTGCCCCAGGAGGGGCTGCTTATAACCTTCCCTTTACCTAAATATCTTACCTATGAAACAAAGGCAATATTGTCAGAAAAAGACATCAATACTCACAGGGAACATCTTGAAAAGCTGTAACTTGTATGCAGTCCACCCTTTCTTGGATTTATAAATTGGGAGAGGAAACTTAACATTTCTGGCATATTGAGAAAAGAGTAGCACTAGGAAAATTGTCCTGAGAAGAAAAGAAAAGAAATGAAGTTAAAGAGTGGGGCATCCATGTCTTAAAATAACTTAAAGCTTCGATGTCAAAATTGTGTGTGCTTAATTCATTTACCTACAGATTTGGAATTCTTATCTTTTGGAACTATTTTTTTGGTAGTACTAGGCTTCACGCTTGCTAAGCAGGCACTCTACCACTTGAGCCACTCCACCAGCCCTTCCCTAGCACTTCTTGATACTGAAATGAAGTTGCAAACGCTAATGCTTTGCTTAAAGGATACACACTTTGATGGCAAAAGTTCACACTGTGTAAGGGAAAGATGCCACATGTACAACTGTGAATTAACTAAAAAGCAAACAGAAACTACTGTGTGCACATGCACACACTCACCAAAAGGTGAGGAGGACAAGATCCAAATGCACACAGGGATGAGCTTTGGATGATGACATGATTTGTGACTGTTTTTGTTTAATATTTTGTCTGTCTTTTATTCTTTCCCCCACCTTTGTTGGCTCATTTAATCTTGGTTTTCCAGCTGCTGGAGATACATGCTGCATGTACATTATTTGCCTTAAAGGTCATGAATTTCTTGACTCTAAAGTGTGATTGCTGCTGTTATTTATTGACACTGTTTGCTAAGTCATTAGCAATTGTGAAGTTTCAGTTTCCTTTCTGACTAAGAGTTATTTATAACACAGATTTTTAGCTTCTGAGTGGTTCAGGTTTTTTCTTTTTTCATGTTTTTGTTGTTGGCTTGTAATTTTACTGTTTTGTAAATACAGTATCTCCTTTTTGGCATTTATTGCATTTGCCTTAATTAACATTCTTAATGTCATCCACATACCCATGCTGGTACGGAGAAATGGTTTGGCTGACTTTTGATGAAATGAGAAAATTAAGAAAAATCTTGGATCTTTTCACACTTTAATTTGTAATGAAGTATGGATTAATATTCACCTTATTTGTACATAATGTTCTAATACACAGAAGCAAGATTGAGAATAATAAGTTAAGTGCAGTCAAACCACTGGGGTTTTGAAATCAACCTTGGCCACTTACTAGCTGTGTGACTCTGGACGAGGACCACTGCATCTTTGTGTTTCTTCATTTTTTAAATAGGAAGAACACTAGTCATTACTTTATCTTATATATAAGTATTATGTAAACCACATTAGGTAAGTCACATAGTGAAAAACTCAATAAATGCTGCCTGTTATTAAATAAATATTTCATATAGAGAAACAAAAAATGTGGAAATAATACTTTGTTTTAGAAAATTACAGCTCTTTGGAACCATTCATCTGTGACATAATCAATTCTTATATATGCTCTACATACACACAAAGAGAATGTGAGCTCTTTTTGTGGTATACTTCTATTTGTGGTACTCAGAATTACACAGCTCTAACCATCAATCTTATCGGAGTCCCGTATGTCTTCTCTGATACAAAATCCTGACATCTTTAACGGACTTGATATTCTGTGTAAAAAGACAGTGCTGACCAACAACCTGGCCCTCCCCATGGTAGTGCAGCACTCTGCTGGGCCCTGGGAGCCAGTTACATCACCAATGCCAACACGCCCTCCAAAAGCATCTTTGCTTCCTGCCAGCCTGGGAGTATTTCTGAATCTCATCTAAAAAAACGTGGCTTCTCAGTATTTCAACTCATATGCATGAAACATGGCATCACTTATACCATCTTAACCCTTACAAAGGCCTAAAACCTTCCAACCTTCCCTCACTGCATCAATGCCAAGTCTGTTTGTGGAATACCTCAACTCTGTGTATCACTTCTCAACTTCTAGATGTAGAACAATCCTGACTAGTACTCCCTAGCATGAACTAAGTAAAATTTAAACTGTCAAAACATTCTGGTTTTAAAAAATTATCTTTTTTCTAAAGTCTGTGAGACTGATCCAAATGATCCAAAGGGCTATCCACAGAGGTGGTGGTGGTGGTGGTGGTGGTGGTGGTGTAGGTGGTAGTGGTAGTGGCAGTGGTGGTAGTGGTGTGGGGTGGCAGAGGTAGGGGTGGGGGTTTGGGGGGGGGGGTGTGTGGTGGTGGTGGTGTGGGGTGGTGGTATTGTGGATTACTGGTGGTGGTGGTGGTGGTCGTTGTGGTGGTGTGGGATGGTGGTGGTGTGGGGTGGTAGTGGTGGTGGTCGTTGTGGTGGTGGTGGAGGTGGTGGTGGTAGTGGTGTGGGATGGTGGTGGTGGTGGTAGGGGGGTCATGTGGGGTGGTGGTGTGTTGGTGGAGGTGGTAGTGGTAGTGGTGTGGGATGGTGGTGGTGGTAGTGGTGGTGGTCGTTGTGGTGTGGGATGGTGGTGGTGGTGGTGGTGGTAGGGGGGTCATGTGGGGTGGTGGTATTGTGGATTACTGGTGGTGGTGGAGCTGGTGGTGGTGGTGGTGGTCGTTGTGGTGTGGGGTGGTGGTGGTATGGGATGATGATGGTGGGGGGGGGGGGGGGGGGGGGGGGGTGGGGTGGTAGGGGGTCATGTGGGGTGGTGGTGTGTTGGTGGAGGTGGTAGTGGTAGTAGTGGTGTGGTGGTGGTGGTGGTGTGGGGAGGTTCTCCCTGTTCTCTCCCTCTCAGGTGCTCTCACAACACTTACAGCATGGCGATGCCCCAGTGCTTCCCTGCTCTCTCTCCTGCTGCCTGGAAACCAGAAAGGCCAATGAGGGCCACTGTGGGTGTGATGGTCAGAGGCCCAATGTATCTCAGCAGAGCCCCAGGTAAGCCCAGGAGGCCGATGACCACTTCTATCAATGAGGACATGATGATGGCTCCCTGGATCTGAAACAAGAAATGACACAGACATGAGAGTGAGCTGTTTAGATGTCAAACACTTGGATGTCACCTGCAACCACAACAGCCCCCTATCTGTAAGGCAACCATTATATTACAGAGCAGGAATGACAGTTGAAAAACTCTTTGGGACTCCACCAAAACAAAACAAAACAAAACAAAACAAAAAAAACTTAGGTAGCTGAGGCCTATCAAATTTGAGTATGAGGTCACTGATGGAGGAGAATTACAGAAGGGCACTGAACATAAAACTGGCTTGCCTTTTCCATTGATAAATGAGACAGACAAAACATGCAATTCTCATTTAAGAAATATGGCATTTCCAAATAAGTCTGATGGGAACACTGCAGTATGAAGACTCTTGGTTTTAAGAAGTAAACCCACGGAGAATATTTACAAGATATCATCAACAAAACTTCTAAAGAAATGTGTCTATCATGCAGAATGGCTGTATCTGTGCTAATTCTCATAATTTAATGGGTTTGAGATGGCATGAATACACCATTAGCTGTTCTTCGTCTGGAGATCGCCACATGCTACTCTGTTCAAAGTGCACTTTGGCAGTCAAATATCCTTAGCTCTTTCAACAAACACAGGCAAATGCTAAGGCTGCCTGTCAACAAGCATGATAGCTCCTCCAAGTGAGCCACGAGTCTCAGCTGGTTAGTCTGGTGGGTATGCACAGGCAGGTCTGGGACTCTGCAGGAAGAAAGAACAACACTGTCTGGTGGTGCAAAGCTACTAACTAAATTTAGTGTAACAATGGAAATAAACACTTCAGTGGTTTAAAATGAAAAAGAAGGACATGCAATTTCTTGGGCATCACCTCAAAGCCCAGAAGAAGCATAAAGAAGGTGCAAACAGACCATGTTCATCCTTTACCTCTCGGATCCGGGGATACCAGATGTGTTCTGTGTGCAACAGTTCTGCTGTTCCATTGGCAACTGAAACATCTTGAAAACAAAAACAAAGACAAAGTTTTTCTTGGAGTGACAATGATGTTTCACAGGGCATATTCACTTTTACCCTTTAAGAAGAATTTCCTCCCTGACTTGAGTATATTTATGTCATTACTCATTCCTAAAACTCAACCTACAACAGTAGGGCTTATTATACTGTAATGTGGGTTACCAGGCACTAATTTAACCAAATGTACTCATCAAATGAGAGCTCCCCAATGTGTCAAAAGCTGACTGAAGTGGTGCTACCCATTACCAGTACCAGCTTCACAGAGAAAACTAACCTTTGCAAGCAGCTAACTGAAATGCCCAACAGCAAGGTTGTAAAAACCTAGATAAAACAAAGGGCCTTTTCCAGTTCCTAAATCGAATTAATGGTCACAAAGTAACTCCTAGGAGCAAGGAAGGAAATGAAGGCTGGAAAGCTTGGCTCCTAGAACCTCAACATGTAACTATATTTTGAGAGTACAACAGGTCTGACTCTGATTTTCTCAAATTTCCCATCTTTTCCTGGCCTTATCAGATTCCTTACGGATCTTTGCCATCACTAAGGAAGGGGAATGAAAGTCATTTGCAGAAAACCACAGTAGCCAGATCCTTAAAAAGCAAAGATGTTTCAGAAAAGGGATGCTGACGCAGCAAGAGAGTGATTACTGGTGGGTCATAAAATCCACTGAAAGAGAGAGGCAGGAAAATAGCACAAATATTTTTCGATTCCATTCCCAATGTTTGTCAATTTCATTAGCATAGAGAAATGAGGTCATTTCTGGTCCTTACTTGCTCTAGGGTTAGGGATGAATGAGTGGATAGAAAGAGAGAGACAGACACGATCCACAGACTGGAACATTTTCTAAACTGTTTTATGGGTTGGTGTGTTTGGTGTCTAAATCCAGAAGGAGTGATCACTGCCCTCATGGGGACAGTGTGTCCAGGCCTCCCTTTTATCACCTGCATTAAAGGACCCCAATGACATATGTGGAAATAACTGCAATTACCTGTGGTGTTACATTTCCATTTATCTAAAGACAGGATGGCTCGAGCAGGGGCCAAAAATGCAAAAGCACTGGCCTGAAACAGGGGTAACCTAAAAGAAACGAGACCAAAACCATGATCACGGCATCGGGAACAACCGAGGGCGTTCACTATTTGACAGCTTAACAGTCTTTTCCATAGACACACAGCACATGAGTAAACGCGGGTACACCTGGAGGAAAGAGCCCCAAGTCTACAAAGATCTCCTATAGCACACAAGCCAGGGCCATGGGCTTTTTCATCCTCCCCTCCTGCTGCTCTGCTCCCAGGCAGCTCCAGGGGTGCCCTTGGGGAACCTTGTGGTCAGTGCCAGCACCCCAGCACTAGCCCTTGTCACTACCACCTTTCCCCTTGGGCTGGGGCCATTGGGGATTTGGGATTCTCTTTCCTTCTGAGCTTGTAGGCTCCCTACTGAGCATCAGTGTACATCTAGTATACTTTCCCTCTTGTCCTCCCTCTCAAATTCTCATTGGTTATCAACAACAAAAAACCTCTCCCTGTCATTTTATTCTGTGAATCATAAAAGATGAGTATTAAAATCATATTAGTGACCTACATGTATTGAGGAGAAAGCTGTATGCTACAAAGTGACAGCACACTAATAAATATCCTGCTTAATCATAAAAAAATACTTAAAAAAATTTTTTTTGGCGATACTGGGCTTTGAACTCAGGCCTCACGTTTGCAAGAGAGGAACATTAGCATTTGAGCCTCTCCTCCAGCCCTTTAGACTTTGTTTATTTTGAGATAGGGTCTCACTTTACGCCCAGGCCCGCCTAGACTACTATTCTTTACACTTCCCACATAGCTGGGATGACAGGCATGAACCACACTGCCTAGCTTTTATTGGTTGAGATGGGGTCTTAAGAACTTTTTGTTTGGGCTGGCCTCGAACTATGATCTTCCCAGTCTCCACCTCCTGTACTTGAGAGGATTACAGGCGTGAGTCACAACATTTAACATTTTTAAAGAGCTCAGAAGGCTAGCAGACTCTCCATTAAATTTCCTGCCCACATCCTTAAGTTAAATGCAGAGATATTCCATTATATTTTAGATAATTCATATTGATTTGATGAATAATTTAACTACTCGAAAAGATTTTGTCATTGTTATTGGAAATATACAGCATTTCAGCTAAGTTGTATTAAGACTGGCTTTATAGGTTAGCAGGAGAACTTAGGCATTATTTTTCACATTATTTGGGGATAAAATACAAAACTTGCTCCTGTTGTTTGCAGGGCTGAGAACTGCCAGACACCCAAATCCTTAAATTCCCCCAGGGAACCTTGCTGGGGGGCCTGGCCAGCAAGACAGGAACCCAGCATCCTCCCCTTTGAGCTGTGCGACAGCAAGATCTGCCCCTGGTGAAACTGGAAATGGAAGCGGCTCTGGCCAAAGGACAAGCAGCTGTTTTGCAGGTCCAGAGCCTAGGTCACCCTATTCTGAGCCAGATGAGGGTCAAGATTTTTGTCACCAATGCTCTTCTGTCCATTTTAATGATATTGAAATAAAGTTAGCTGACAGTAGGCAGGATGTCGGCTTTAAAACAGAGAGCCACAAGGTACAAACCAGATGCCTTGCTGACAGCCACTCACATGGGCTCATCCTCCACCAACCATGCAGTTATAACACCTGCAGAGGGGCCCTGAGCACTGTGCTGCTAAAAGTGGAAGTGAAGGTTATCTAAAGCAGAAATGTACATCAAAGGGAAAATGTCGTTTGACTTAGGAAAATTCTTCAAGCACAAATTTTTAGGAATACACTGAACTACAGGGTAAAGGGAGATCAGCAAATCATTAGGAATGAATGCCATCACAAATGGTCCAAGTAAAGTTTTACTGCAGCGTCAGATTTCAAGGCAAGGCATCCTGGGGCAACATAACACAAATACCAAACTGCACATAGGAACATGACATTCACACTGTGCCAGCGATTCTCTGGAAGTGGCAAAAGTCAACTTGGGCTCTGGGTTCTACTCCTCATTGAGACCTCAGTCTGGGTCTAACCTTGGCACTTTTCAGGGAAAGCATTTTACAATTTAACCAGGGCGAAAGAGCACTGCTGTAAGGGACTCAGTGGCCAGGACCCGGGGTTCCTCTGAGTGGGTGATGACAGAAAGTCTCCCGAGGTGGTGTGTAAGAGCTGCCAGGCCTGCTTCACATGCTCACCACCCAGCCTGGCATGCCCCTGCACAGGCCAGTAACACCCAGTGGTCAGTGTGGGCTCTGTAACTGGCTGCATGGTGTGATGGAAATGTTCTCTGAACATCAGCAATGAAGTGGGAGCTTTCCTAGATCAGAGCTGACTTCCCAAGGAGACCGAAGCTAATGTCGTGAAAATGTGAAATTCCTCATTCTTCTCTCTGCACCTACAGCATAGCTCCTTGCCTCAGATTTGGGGTGGTGGCCCCAAATCTGCAATTTGAACAATTACTTCTAGGTGAAGCTGAACCTGACAGCTCCTGTGCTAGATGATGGGATTTACCATTTCATCATTGATAAGCATTTCTTGGGTATCTGCTTGACACAGACACAACTAAAAGCAGATACAAGAATGGAAAAATGACCATGGCTCTTGCAGGGTTTCTGTTGTGTAAAGGAGATAGATGCTAATGGCAGTTATTTGCAAAGAGCAGCAATGTGTATGGTGCTAGAGTGGGGCTCTCTAGGAGCTGTCAAGAACAAGAAGTACTTTGCCACATTCATAAAGGGCTATGAGGATTCCAAGCAGAGAAAGGTCCAAGAGAGCCACATCACCCTGGAGAATGGTAGCTGCTTTACTTCAGGGGAAGGCACAGGGAGGGATAAAGTGAAGTCCGGGTAGGGACTGACGGCAAATATCCTGTGTCCTATTGTTGGCAAGACAACTGCTAAAGGCCCTTGCTCTGAAAGGACCACTTTAGAGAACCAGAACTTTAACCCAGAAGCCATCTTCAGACTTGAAGGTTGAACCAAACCACAGGCTAGGGCCCAGCTCTATGAGTGGTCCTTGCCCCACTGACTTCCACACCCTTTGGTGTCAGCCAGCCAGGGTCAGGTTCCACATGTCCCTTGACCTCTAACTGCTCCCCTTCACTCTGACCTGTCAATCTCATCCTTGAGGCTGGGATCCTGACAGGAAGAGGTGGACCCATTTTACCCACCATCTTATCCCCAGGACCAACAACACTTAATGAATTGAAGGTGTATAGAAATGCTCTCTGAAAGCAATTTTGTTAGATAAGCCTTTCTAATATATTGATTCTTGTAAAATGGGAAAGGATCCTGCTTAGATTAAAAGCACTCAGGAGCGAGAGCAGAGAGTACATGAATATTACAATAAACTCAGATAAAATCTCTCTACATTACCATCAGAGGAAGGTATTAAGAAGTTCAAAAGGAGCCAGGCACAGTGACTTACACCTGTAATCCCAGCTACTCAGGTAGAGATCAGGAGGAATGCAGTTTGAGGCCAGCCTGGGCAAAAAGTTCTCGAGACCCCATCACAACTAATAAAATTTGGGTGGAGTAGTGCACGTCTGTCATCTCAGCTGTGAGGGAAGTATGAATAGGATTGTAGTCCAGGCTGGTCCAGGCATAAACATGAGACCCTATTTGAAAAATGAATAAAGCAAAAAGGGCTGGGGGAATAGTTCAAGTGGTACAGTGCCTGCCCGACAAGTACAAAGCTCTGAATTCAAAACCCAGTACCTCAATTTAAAAAAAAAAAAGAAGTTCAAAAGGCCACGGGTCCTACAGGAAGCACCACACAAAATGTACCTGCCCAGAACTAAACAGTTTAATGAAAGTGAATAAAACAAGAACAAAACTCACCACCACAGAGAGTACTGTCTTCCTCAACCTGCCATGACAACAACCACTTAGTACAAAACCTTTCATTCTCAAATGAACACCAACTTGAGTCTGGACTTCAGGACAATTTTAAAGCAATAATCTCTAAGATTAAACACAAGTAGGTATGGCTTTGAGGAGCTATAGTTTCATCATGGAATCAACCATCAGGAGTGTGTCCTACTTGCCTTTAAAGAAAAGCAAAACACAATGTGTCAAAGAAAACCTTCCTAATTGTTAACATTTTCCCATTAATCACTCTGTGTACCAATCAATCAGCTGACTGCTGGGAAGGAGTTTGTGTCTGCACATCCATTATACTTTACCCAAACACCTGGGCAGGCATCTCTTGTTATTTAATAAGCACATTCTATACCACCTGCTTCCCCTTATCACACCCCAAAAAAGCAACAATTTAATAATGTAATCTAATATTAGGCATATTAAATTTCTCAACTGTTTGAAAAGGATTCACAGCTCTCCCCATTGCCTGATCCAAGTTCCTATAACATGAGCTGTTCTTACAGCCAGGCTAAGTATTTTTGGCAAGGAGACTGCACAGGTGTTAAGTATTTGTCACCATGTCACATTGGGACACCCTTCATAACAGGATGTCCCACTAGATGGGGATACTTATTTAAGGTAGTAGCCACTGTATCTCTCAACGTGAAATTAATAAATTTATAATTAATAGTCTGTAGAGTGATTCTTAAGACTGTAAACATTTTATTACCACTAGCTTTATATTATAATATAGAGGATTTAAATATGATGAAAAGTTTTACCATTCCATCTATATTTACTTATTTTGAGAGGGCATCTTGTTTTATACCCCAGCTGGCCTCAAACTCATCATCCTCCTTCCTCAGCCTCCTGAGTGCTGGGATTGCAGGCATGTGCCACCATGCCTAGCTTTCCATAGTATTTATTGATATCCTTTGTAAAGAAGAGCTTTCCTTTAGGTCTAATTTTATCATCTCCCTCTCTCTTTTCTGAATATCACTGTAGACTCTTGAATTCCTTCTTCGTTCAAAGTTTTATAATAACTATACTTATTAAATTGTTCCAAAACCTGCCCAAAGTAGCCTGGTCAAGTCAGTTCCTGTTCTTTTTGATAAAGCCCTCCCTACCTCCACTACTATTTGAACAACCTTCTGGCTGTCTGGCACATGATGTTCCTTGTCCTTTTTCTCAGCCCCCTGCCCTGGAACTGGGGATCGCT